TCAGACGGTAACTCTCCAACGGGTCCGACTGCTGATAAACCTTCCCGCAGCTTGTCCTCGTCCACCCCATCGAAGTCAGGCTCCGTGAACTTCGGCCTCTTCTGGGACGGTTCGCCATCAGATACAGCGGCACCCCCACCTCCACTAGGCGCTTGCACAGGTACCACCAGCTTCTCCACCAACGGGTTGGCCTTGACCGCAACGAGCAATTCTCCGTGGACGCCCGCCGCCTCCAGCAACGCATCCAGCACCGACGTGTCAAGCTGCCCACCAGCAACAGGCTTGTCCCCATCAGGAGGCTGTGGAGCCGTGTTGCCCAGCTGCTGCAGCTGGCCCTCAAGCTCCACGATGACAACCCTCTGGGCCGCTGCCTTCGACTCCGCCTCTGCCGCATCCTTCTGCAATTGCGAGAGCTCAGCCGCCTTCGCAGCTGCAACCTTCTCCAGCTTCTCCAACTTCGAAGTCTCATTCTGCAGCTTCGTGGACAACTGCCGAATCTGAGCACACAGCGGTTGCTTAGAACGTCGCTTCTCCAGCAAATCACCCTTTGCCGCCAGCGCATCGGCCGCCACCTGCTCCATGCCTGGCACGCCGACGCACGCCGCGTGGATGCCCTCGTGAGCCGCGACCTGCGCCATGATCTTCGCGTCCTCGTCATCCTCCGACTTTCCCTGTTCCGTAAGCTGCACACCAGGTTGCGCCCCACCAGGCACCTTCTGGGCATTCTGCTTGCGGAGCTCTGCGACCTCTGCCTGCAGCCGCGCGAGCAGCTTGGCCGTGTCCGATGGCGCCGCCCATGGAGGAGAGCGCTCTGGCATGGCTTTGCGCACCGACGGGACCTTGGGCTCAACGTTGCGAAGGGAACTCGAGCCCTTGTGCATCCCACCACAGCCGTCTTTGACACGCCCAGCACAGTACATCTTGTACCCAGGGTTGACCCAAGGCTCGCCAGAGCGCTGCACACAAAAGCGACAGAGCCAATCCAGCTTCTCGGGCGGAGGGGCCATGGCTGCGACGACTGGGAAGTCAGGTTGGAGGCTCGCGAACCCCTCGACTGAGGGACCTCCGTACACACAGTGATCTGCCGCGGACTAGCGGTATCCGTTTTTGCCAATGCGGGCTCAGCCCGCCAAAGCATAGGTCTTGAGCCAAAATGGCTTGAGCCAAAATGGCTACGGAGGAGGAGGAGGAGGAGGAGGAGGAGGAGGAGGAGAGGGAGGGAGGAGGAGGAGGAGGCGGAGGCGGAGGGAGGCGGGGAGGAGGAGAGGAGGCGGAGGCGGAGGGCGGAGGAGGCGGAGGAGGAGGAGGAGGAGGGAGGAGGAGGAGGAGGAGGAGGAGGAGGAGGAGGAGGAGGAGGAGGAGGAGGAGGAGGAGGAGAGCTCTTCTCAGCGCAGGGGGCGCCCGTCGCTTCCGGCGGTCTGCACGGCCAGGTCGGGTGCTCCGCGGGGCGGGCGCCCAGTGGGGCGCCCCCAGGGGCTCCGCGCGGGGCCCCTCCCGGAGGCTCGAGGGGGTCCGAGCAGGTGGGGCGGTGCGGCTCGATGCGGAGCCCGACCTCCTCCGCGCCGACGCCGCGCCGGTGCTCGAAGAAGAAAGCACGGCAGAGAGTTCCGCTGTCGCTCGGTGCCGCCTGCACCGTGGTTCGTGTTGGCGCGATGCGCAAGAAGTGGGAGCGAGGGAGCAGGCTAGCATAGACTATTGGCGCTCCGCGCGGGTTTCTTGGGTCTGCGCTGGGGCCCCGCCTGGCGGCGCCTCCGGCGCCGGAAGGTCCGGCGCAGATCCAAGACATCCGCGTGGACCTCCAAAAGTTTTATGCTTCTGTCGTTTTTTCGTCCTCTAGATGCAGCGCCGACGTCGCCGATGCATCGCCAATGCACTGGCGATGCGGCGCGATCCTCCTACTCATCTACTCTGAAGTCGGGCGCGTCCCTCTACAGGAGAGTATTCAAAAATAGTCAAATCAGCCGGACGAAAAACCCAACCATATGCAGGTGCGAGAACCGCGAGACGAAGGAGGGAAGCACGCAAACCCCGAACAGCGCACGCCATATGTCCTCTGCTCTCATAGGCGGCGCGCCACAGGAAGAGCGAGACGCAGGGCAGTGCGGGCAGGGGGGCACGAATGTGTGGGACGCATGCGAGCTTTCGGTGGAGCTCCGTATGGGGCCACGAAGCGCTGTACTGGGTATGGCGGTAGAGCTTCCTGGGGGGCCAAGAAGCGCTGTTTTTCCCAACCCTCCTGCGTTGGGTACTCGTTTTGAATAGAGCACTGCGGTCTCCACCTTCCTTCCTTCCTTCCTTCCTTCCTTCCTTCCTTCCTTCCTTCCTTCCTTCCTTCCTTCCTTCCTTCCTTCCCGCCTCCTCCTCTCTTCTCTGGGGGGCTGCGATCTGCGAAACTGTCGCCACTTTCGAGGGCTGCTGGGGTGGCCAGCGGAGTGACGCCCTACGGGGATTCAGATTTGACCTCGCCATCCCTGGGGGGCTGCGATCTGTGAAACTGTCGCCACTTTCGAGGCTGCTGGGGGGCCCAGCGGAGTGACGCCCTACGGGGATTCAGATTAGACCTCGCCATGGGGGGCTGCGATCTGTGAAACTGGAGGGCTGCGATCTGTGAAACTGTCGCCGATCGGGGATGCTGGGGGGCCCAGCGGAGTGACGCCCTACGGGGATTAGACCTCGCCATCCCTGGGGGGCTGCGATCTGTTCGAGGGCTGCTGGGGGGCCCAGCGGAGTGACGCCCTACGGGGATTCAGATTAGACCTCGCCATCCCTGGGGGGCTGCGATCTGTGAAACTGTCGCCACTTTCGAGGGCTGCTGGGGGGCCCAGCGGAGTGACGCCCTACGGGGATTCAGATTAGACCTCGCCATCCCTGGGGGGCTGCGATCTGTGAAACTGTCGCCACTTTCGAAGGCTGCGTGGGGGGCCCAGCGGAGTGACGCCCTACGGGGATTCAGATTAGACCTCGCCATCCCTGGGGGGCTGCGATCTGTGAAACTGTCGCCACTTTCGAGGGCTGCTGGGGGGCCCAGCACAGTGGGCACCCACGGCGGATTCAAATGGGACCTCGCCATCCCTGGGGGGCTGCGATCTGTGAAACTGTCGCCACTTTCGAGGCCTGCTGGGGGGCCCAGCACAGTGGGCACCCACGGCGGATTCAAATGGGACCTCGCCATCCCTGGGGGGCTGCGATCTGTGAAACTGTCGCCACTTTCGAAGGCTGCTGGGGGGCCCAGCACAGTGGGTACTCACGGCGGATTCAAATGAGACCTCGCCATCCCTGGGGGGCTGCGATCTGTGAAACTGTCGCCGCTTTCGAGGCTGCTGAGGGGCCCAGCACAGTGGGTACTCACCGCAGACTCAAATGGGACCTCGCCATCCCTGGGGGGCTGCGATCTGTGAAACTGTCGCCACTTTCGAGGGCTGCTGAGGGGCCCAGCACAGTGGGCTTCCCGCACGTCTTTCTCCTGCTCTTCGCTCCCGTCTCCCCATGTCCTCTTCGAGCCTGTAGCTGTTGCCCCTCTTTCTTGTATGGTTCTCCTGCGCATCATGCCATAGGCGCGTGTCCCAAGTAGCTTACATATCAAACAACGGATCCTGCAATTTGATTGTCCATGCAAGTTTCGGTCAACTCCTCGTTTCCCATGATACAAATGGGTTGGGTACGTCACAGGGTAATTTTATTTGGCTGGCGCATGCGGGCACCCCCGCTGGGGCCTTCGGTGGGGCTCCCTGTGGGGCCGCGAAACGCTGTACTGGGTGTGGCGGACGCGTGCGGGCACCCCAACTGAAGCCTTCGGTTGAGTTTTCCTTGGGGCCACGGAGCGCTGTACTGAGTGTGGCAGACGCGTGCGGGCACCCCCACTGGGGCCTTCGGTGGAGCTCCCTATGGGGCGACGGAGCGCTGTACTGAGTGTGGCAGACGCATGCGGGCACCCCACTGGGGCCTTCGGTGGAGCTCCCTATGAGGCCACGAAGCGCTGTACTGGGTGTGGCGGACGCATGCGGCCCCCCCCAGTGTGGCCTTCGGTGGAGCTCCCTATGGGGCGACGAAGCGCTGTACTGGGTGTGGCAGACGCATGCGGCCCCCCACTGGGGCCTTCGGTGGAGCTCCCTATGGGGCGACGGAACGCTGTACTGGGCGTGGCGGACGCATGCGGCCCCCCCCCACTGGGGCCTTAGGTGGAGCTCCCTATGGGGCGAAGAAGCGCTGTACTGGGTGTGGCAGACGCATGCGGGCACCCCACTGGGCCTTAGGTGGAGCTCCCTATGAGGCCACGAAGCGCTGTACTGGGTGTGGCGGACGCATGCGGGCCCCCCCCACTGGGGCCTTCGGTGGAGCTCCATGCGACGAAGCGCTGTACTGGGTGTGGCGGACACATGCGGGCCCCCCCCACTGGGGCCTTCGGTGGAGCTCCCTATGGGGCGATGATGCGCTGTACTGGGTGTGGCAGCACCCCGCTGGGGCCTTCGGTGGAGATCCCTATGAGACCACGAAGCGCTGCACTGGGTGTGGCGGACGCAGGCGGCCATCCCCAGACGCATGCTGGCACCCCATTGGGGCCTTCGGTGGAGCTCCCCATGAGGCCACGAAACGCTGTACTTGGTGTGGCGGACGCATGCGGGCACCCCCGCTGGGGCCTTCGGTGGAGCTCCCTATGGGGCGACGAAGCGCTGTACTGGGTGTGGCAGACGCATGCGGCCCCCCCACTGGAGCCTTCGGTGGAGCTCCCTATGAGGCCACGAAGTACTGTAGTGGGTGTGGCGGACGCATGCAGGCCCCCCCACTGGGGCCTTCGGTGGAGCTCCCTATGGGGCGACGAAGCGCTGTACTGGGTGTGGCGGACGCATGCGGGCACCCCACTGGGGCCTTCGGTGGAGCTCCCTATGAGGCCACGAAGCGCTGTAGTGGGTGTGGCGGACGCATGCGGGCACCCCACTGGGGCCTTCGGTGGAGCTCCATATGGGGCCCCCTTTGCCATCACGGGCATCGACGATTGGGTCGGTGATGGGGTCGGTGACGTTTCAGTGCTCTTTCCACAGCGAAGCCGCATGTCGATTTGCGACGCCAGACGTCCTGGGCAGGACCAGCATGGCCCAGGCCGCCCCCGCGTCGTCGCGCTGCTGGCCAGCCACCTGGGCGACGAGGACCGCCTGTGGAAGCTAGAGCGCTGCCTCCAGTCCATCGCGGCGCAAGAGGCCAGGGGAGGAAAGATCACCCCGACCCCCGCAATCGCCGTCTGCTGACCTCGAAGAAGAAACAACGACATAAGCATCAACTTGTGGCGCTCCGCGCGGATCTCTTGGATCCGCGCTGGGCCCCCCTGGCGGCGCTTCCTGCGCCGCCCCTGCCCCGGCGCGCTCCGCGCGCCAGGGAGGGGGTTCTAGCCCAGATCAAAGAAATCCCCGCGGAGCTCTCTCTTTTTTTTTTTTGTTGTTGTTGTTGTTGTTGTTGTTGTTGTTGTTGTTGTAGTTGTTGTTGTTGTTGTTGTTGTTGTTGTTGTTGTTGTTGTTGTTGTTGTTGTTGTTGTTGTTGTTGTTGCTGCTGCTGCTGCTGTTGTTGTTGTTGTTGTTGTTGTTGTTGTTGTTGTTGTTGTTGTTGTTGTTGTGTTGTTTGTGTTGTTGTTGTTGTTGTTTGTTGGTGTTTTGGTTGTTGTTGTGTGGTTGGTGTTTTGTTGTTGTTGTTGTTGTTGTTGTTGTTGTTGTTGTTGTTGTTGTTGTTGTTGTTGTTGTTGTTGTTGTTGTTGTTGTTGTTGTTGTTGTTTTATCTTTAGTCTTATGTAAGGAAAAATCGAAATCCCTCTATGACTGGCCCTGGGCGTTCACTGGGCAGCCCTGCCCTGCTCGGTTCCTTTCTGGGGTGCGCCCGCGAGACGGCCTTCGCCCGTCGGGGCGCTTCCTGGGAGGGGTGTTTTGTCTTGGGGAAACCAAGAGGTACCAATACTAGGGGGCCACATGCGAACCCTACCCCTACCCCCACGATTTATGAGGGGGAGGGTGGGGTTCACTTCGCTCGGGAGCTCCCGAACGAAGTGAACCCCACCCTCCCCCTCAGAAATCGTGGGGGGTAGGGGTAGGGTTCGCATGAGGTCCCCTAAATACCGCTACTCCCCAGACCTCTCCCGGGGGGCGTTCTGACCAGGATTTCGAGGCGACTCCATCGGTGGCCACAAGGGCCTCCCAGGAGGCCCCCAGAAGGGGAAGACGGGCGAAGGTTAGCCGGTATGGGCACCTCTTCCTCCTCGGAGTAATTTTTTCTTGATCTCCGAGAGGAGCCTCCAGCGGAGGTGCTGGTGCGCTGGTCCGCCGCCGGCGCCGAGCTGGAGGCCCGAGCATGCGAGCTCCACCACCACCACCACCATAAGCTGAAGGGGGGAAGGAGGTGGAGGAGGAGGAGGAGGAGGAGGAGGAGGAGGAGGAGGAGGAGGAGGAGGAGGAGGAGGAGGAGGAGGAGGCGGAGGCGGAGGCGGAGGCGGAGGAGGAGGAGGAGGAGGAGGAGGAGGAGAGGAGGAGGAAGGAGGAGGAGGAGGAGGAAGGAGGAGGAGAAGAAGGAGGAGGTGGAGTTGGAGGTGGGGACGGAGGAGAGGCGGAGGAGGAGGAGGAGGAGGAGGAGGAGGAGGGAGGAGGAGGAGGAGGAGGAGGAAGAGGAGGAGAGGAGGAGGAGGCGGAGGGGAGGCGGAGGAGGAGGAGGAGGAGGAGGAGGAGGAGGAGGAGGACGAAAGCTTGAGAGGTCCCTTCCAATGCGAGGCCCAAGCCTGCGAGCTCCTCGACGGCTGCGGGCTGCCCTGCGCGCTCACGGCGTGGCGCGCGGAGCCCGCGGCGCAGTTCGAGCACTACGCGGCGCTCGGCTCGCGCCTGCTGTCGGGCAGGCCGGCCGCCGAGCTGGACGAGGCTTGGCTCACGTCGGTCTTTATATGTATGTATGTATATATAAATATATATATATATATATATATATATATATATATATGCGTATTTGTTTTGAGGTCTTTGTTCTTTTTGTTGGGTCTTGTTTTGGCTTTCTGGGTATTTTTTGTAGTTCTTTGTATTTTATCTGGGGGGGGGGGTATTTTTGTTTTTTTGTTCCAAAATCCGCTTGTATTGGCGGCGAACTCCGAGCCCTGCCCTCGCCGGTCGACGGTTCAGGCAACTCGACGGGCGGCGGGGGCGAGTCAGAGGGGGGAAAGGTACCCATGCCGCTACCAATTCCTCGCTTTCCCATCTTTGGGCCTCCCGGGAGGTCCTCGTCGCCACGGCTGGACTCGCCTCGAAATTCTGGTCACAGCGCACGCCGGGAGAGGTCTGGGGAGTAGCGGTATTGGTGCCTCTTGGGTTCCCCACACCCTGCCCTCGCCGATCGGCGATTCAGGCAACTCGACGGGCGGTGGGGTTGAGGGCTCGGCACTCGTCGAGCACACGGCGACACCCGAGCCCCAAACCCCCGGAGAAGCGATGGCTGTTCGGGGGGGGGGGGCCGGAGATCGCCACCTCGAGGCGTGGCTGATCTTCTCCGACGACGACGACATCTGGCACCCCCGGCGCGCGGCGCACTTCTCGCGGGCGGCGGCGGCCGCGGCGGGCTGCGGCGGGCTGGCCGCGGGCGTCTTCCGGGACGCGCGCCCGCGCGACCCCGGGGCGCGCCCGCGCTCGGCGGGCGACGTCGAGGCGCTGCTGCGCTCCGGGCTCGCGGAGCAGACGGGGGACACGGAGCTCATGGGGGCCGGGCTCTCGGAGGAGGGCAAGAGATGCCGGCTTCGGTGCCCTCCCCCTCGTCGCCACGATTGGGTTCGGTCTTCGGAGGATCTCTGGAGTCCCGAAGCGGTGCGGCGACGGGCCGTGCGGTGACCTCCAGATATCCCCCAAGGCCTCATCGACGCATGGTTTTGGGACCTCGGATGCCCCTGCCGCCCGAGACATCCTCGAAGAACGACCCGAGTCCCAAAACCGTGCGGTGACCCCGCATCCCCACCGACTCACCGCACGGTGTGGTCACCACCCCGTTTGGGGGCCCCCAAGACTCCTGGCGGCCTCGCGCGGCGATGTGACGTAATTAAGTCCGACGTAAATCCGACGTGACATCGACGCAAACCCGACGTATATCCGACGTACACTCGGCGTAAATCAGATGTAAAATGGATCTTAACTTGCAGCGCGAGGCCTCCGGGATTTCCCTCTTCAGGTTCGCCTCGACACCCCAGTCAGAACGCACCCCAGGAGAGGTCCGCGGAACAGTGGCGTCGGCATCCTCGTAAGTCCCCCCAGGTTCGGGCTGGAGTGTTGCGAAGGCCTTACGCCCAGTGCCGCCGACCCTGAAGGACGACGACGACGACGACGACGACGACGACGCCGCCGACGACGACGACGGCGCCGCCGCCGCCGCCGACGACGACGACGACGATGACAACGACCGCGACGACGACGACGGCGGTGGGGACGACGACGACGACGACGACGGCGGCGGCGACGACGACGACGACGACGACCACGACCACGACGACGACGACGACCGACGACGCCCCAGGTTTCGGCTGGAGTACTTCCACTACTGCGTGCGCCCCGCCTTGCTGGCTGCCTTCCTGCAGCGCGCGCCGGCGGCGCTGCTGTCGAGCCCCTACTGCGACCTCGCCCTCGCGGAGTTTGCGCGCCTCGCCAGCTGGGCGAATGGCCCGCCGCCGCTGCACGACCCGGGGCGCGACGACTGGATGTACTATGGAGTTGCGTTGCCGCGCGACTCCGCCGCCGCGATCGGGCGGGCGCGGGGTGTGGGAGGGTCTTGAGTTGTGGAAGACGGTGAATGGAGAGGAGGCATGTTGCCAAAGACTTTGCAGATGTCTAAGGCATGTTTCAAACATGCTTCGAACATGTTTAAACATGCAGAAGACACCTGAATGACATTTTTGATTCAACGGTAGACCGGTTAGAGTGTCCATTGTAACGGCATCCACAAGCTTTGAGGGGGGGATGGTCGGAGGAGGACCAGGTACGGATACCTGTACTCCTCCCTCGTTTTGCCCTCCCTCGTTTGCCCTTCTTGGGCCGGGGGGGCCTACTGGCGAGGCCCCTCTTCGCCAGTCGCCCCAGAGCTCTTGGAAGATGCCCCAGACTCCATTTTTACCTAACAGCGAAGACTGATAGGTTTCTAATGGTCTCAAAAGAAAGCCTCTTGACTCCTCAGGGGGGTCTGGGCAGATGCCGGACGGGTGCCGGGGAGAATCCGCGGAAGTCGTTTTAAGCAAACAGTTACACACTTCGAGGTCTTCGAGGTCCCAGAACTCAATTCCTGGGCATGTTTTTGAATCCCCGGAGCCAACTGTAGGCCACTTCGTGGTCTTCGAATTCCCAGAACTCCATTCCTGGGTATGATTTTGAATGCCCGGAGCCAATTGTAGGCCACTTCGTGGTCTTTGAATTCCCAGAACTCCATTCCTGGGCATGATTTTGAATGCTCGGAGCCAACTGTAGGCCACTTCGTGGTCTTCGAGGTCCCAGAACTCTATTCCTGGGCATGATTTTGAATGGCCGGGAGCCAACTGCTAGGCCAACTTCGTGGTTTCGAATACCCAGAACTCCATTACCTGGGGCATGATTTTGAATGCCCGGAGCCAATTGTAGGCCACTTCGTGCTCTTCGAGTTCCCAGATTTCCATTACCGGGCCACATTTTGAATGCCCGGAGCCAACTGTAGGCCATTTCGTGCTCTTCAAGTTCCCAGAACTCCATTTCTGGGCATGATTTTGAATGCCCGGAGCCAACTGTAGGCCACCTCGTGTTTTTCTAGTTCCCAGAACTCCATTCCTGGGCCCATTTTGATATGCTGAGGCGGATGAGGCTGAGGCTGATGAGGTGAGGCTGAGGCCAGGCTGATGAGGCTGAGTGCGAGGCTGAAGGCAGAATGAGGGCTGAGGCTGAAGGCAGGCTTGGGCGAGCTGAGGAGGCTGAGGTTGAGGCGAAAGGTGAGGCTGATGCAGGCTGTGGATGTGGCAGGCTGAGCTGAGTCGAGCTGAGCAGAGGCGATGCCGATGGCTGCAGGAGACTGAGGGCTGAGGGCTGAAGCAGGCTTGAGGCTGAGGTGAGGAAGTCTGAGGCTGAGGCTGAGGTGAGGCAGGCTGATGTGAGCTGTGGTGAGGTGAGGTGAGGCTTTGATGCAGGATGAGGCAGAGGCAGAGGCAGGGCTTGAGCTCAGCTGAGGCAGGCTGACTGATGCAGGCGGTGATGGCAGGCTGAGGCTGAGGATGAGGCAGGCTTGGGCTGCGCCGAGGCTGAAGGCACAGACAGACTGAGGTGAGGTGATGCAGGCTGAGGCTGAGGCAGGCTGAGGCTGAGGCTGAGGCAGGCTGAGGCTGAGGCTGAGGCTGATGCAGGCTGAGGCTGCGGTAGGCCGAGGCTGAGGCCGAGGCTGAAGGCAGACTGAGGCTGAGGCTGAAGCAGGCTGAGGCTGAGGCTGAGGCAGGCTGAGGCTCAGGCTGAGGCAGGCTGAGGCTGAGGCAGGCTAAGGCTGAGGCCGAGGCTGAGGCAGGCTGATGCTGAGGCAGGCTGAGGCTGAGGCCGAGGCTGCAGGCAGACTGAGGTTGAGGCTGAAGCAGGCTGAGGCTGAGGCTGAGGCAGGCTGAGGCTGAGGATGAGGCTGAGGCTGATGCTGAGGCAGGCTGAGGCTGAAGGCAGATGAGGTGAGGCTTGAAGCAGGCTGAGCGAGGCTGAGGCGAGGTGAGGGCTGAGGCAGGTGATGAGGCTGAGGCAGCCTGAAGCTGAGGCCGAGGCTGAAGGCAGACTGAGGCTGAGGCTGAAGCAGGCTGAGGCTGAGGCTGAGGCAGGCTGAGGATGAGGCTGCGGCAGGATGATGCTGAGGCAGGCTGAGGCTGAGGCTGAGGCTGAGGCAGGCTGAGGCTGAGGCAGGCTGAGGCTGAGGCCGAGGCTGAAGGCAGACTGAGGCTGAGGCTGAAGCAGGCTGAGGCTGAGAGGCAGGCTGAGGCTGAGGCTGAGGCAGGCTGATGCTGAGGCAGGCTGAGGCTGAGGCTGAGGCTGAGGCTGAGCTGAGGCAGGCTGAGGCTGAGGCCCGAGGCTGAAGGCAGACTGAGGCTGAGGCTGAAGCAGGCTGAGGGCTGAGGCAGGCAGGCTGAGGCTGAGGCTGAGGCAGGCAGCTGAGGCTGAGGCTGAGGCTGAGGCAGGCTGAGGCTGAGGCAGGCTGAGGCTGAGGCCGAGGCTGAAGGCAGACTGAGGCTGAGGCTGAAGCAGCTGAGGCTGAGGCTGAGGCTGAGGCAGGCTGAGGCTGAGGCTGAGGCTGAGGCAGGCTGATGAGGCAGGCTGAGGCTGAGGCTGAGGCTGATGCAGGCTGAGGCTGAGGCAGGCTGAGGCTGAGGCCGAGGCTGAGGCAGACTGAGGCTGAGGCTGAAGCAGGCTGAGGCTGAGGCTGAGGCAGGCTGAGGCTGAGGCTGAGGCAGGCTGATGCTGAGACAGGCTGAGGCTGAGGCTGTGACTGCGACTGCCGTTGCCACTGCGGCTGTCATCGCGAATGCGACTGCGACTGCGCAGGGAATCTTGAAGGGAATGCTTCCAGATATGCTCCCACACATCGCTGTTAGGTTGCTTCGCCGTTTTTTGTTTTTTTTGTTTTTTGTTTTTTGTTTGTTTTCTATCTTTATTTATATTTATATGTGTATATATATATATATGTGTAGAAGCGGATCGATCTGTGAGGACCCCTGGGGCCCGAAGCCCGGCAGACGCGCCCGTTGGGTAAACGCTGCAACGCCCTGATCTGAGGGCACGCGCACCGCTGCAAGCGCGGTGGCGGACTACGACCGCCGCCCGGGCGCCGACGCCAGGGAGGTCGCGGGCAGCGAGCCGGGGGAGGCCGAGGAGCGCTGCCTCGCGCAGCACCGCGCGGACGTCGAGGCCCTGGGCATCCCCGCGGAGGACGCGCTGTGGACCCTGGCCAGGGTGCGTTCGGCTGTAACTCACGGGAGCCGTGTGCACGCTCAAGATGCCGTTTTTCGAGTCCAGCAGCGCCGATTGGCGCTGGGTCATCGATGAGATAGCGCCGATCTGGCGGTGATGAGCGCTGAGGAGCGTCGGTCTGGCGTCGATGCGCGTCGATGCGCGTCGGTTCGCAAGACCCAGCAAGATGGCATGGGAGGCTCCCATGAGCTGCCGCAGAAGGTGCGCACGAACGTGGACCTGATGCTCCTGGAGACCTGGCCGCGGTGCGACGGGGAGCGCGTGCTCTCCGTGCTGGTGCCGATGCTCCTGGACCGGGAGGGTGCCGACCTGGAGGCCCTCGGGTCGGTCGGTCGGGCGGGCGGCAGCGGGGCTCCAACGAGCGGGGGGCCCATCCACGATGCGTCCACGATGCTCGATCCTCGATCGAGGAGCGAGGAGCGAGGATCGAGGATCGAGGATCGAGGCTCGAGGCTCGAGGCTCGAGGCTCGAGGCCCGATGCTGGAGGCTCGAGGCTCGAGGCTCGAGGCTCGAGGATCGAGGATCGAGGCATCCCCGATCGCTTCGTGTCTGGGGCGCGGACTGCCCCGAGGGCAGCGATCGAGGATTGCCTAAAGATGGGCCCAACGGGGCCCCACGAGGCCCCGGAGTTGCCGCTGCGGGCCCAAGAGGTGCACGGAAGGTGCACGCTTCTTCACTGCGCGTTTTTTCTGCTCACCCCCTTTCGACGAACGCCCGAGCTGGGTCGGCCGGGGGGCTTTCCCTGGAGGGGGCCGCGACACCTGCTGCAGGCCGCTGGCTTCGGCCCCGCCGCCAGACGCCTGCCGATCATCGGTGCACCCGCGCCTCTTCCCGGCGCGCGCCGTGAAGGGGAGCCACGCGAGCGGTTTCGCTAGCCCTCTCCTTCTGCTGCATCGGGTGGGCCCGGGATCGGAAATTGGAGCATATGCGTTGCCAGTTGCGGGCTGTTTTTCGGTCCCAGGACTTCTCGAGGGTCGGGGACGACGTCGGGGTGGTGTGGTGGATGCCTTCTGTTTCCGCTTTCTGGGGAGACAGCGAAGCATGCCTATACCAAGGTCCCGTATACACGAGGATCCGCTTTCTTGTGCACGCTTCAGTGCAGGGCTGGAGAAAGCGTCTTTGTATAGGGTTCGTTTCCCTACAGGACTGTGACAAATCGTTCCACAGCTTTCCCGGAACGCTCCCAGAGCGTTCTGCACAGCGCTCTGGAACGGCCGCTGCGCCGGATACACCCTCAAGAATCACCACGGTGTCTCAGAGATCTTCGATTTATCCAGGTCCGATTTTGTCCCGTGGCGTTGTCTTACCATATCGCCTCTTTCGCCCGATCGGCGGCGACCGTCGAACCCTACCCTCGCCGATCAACGGTTCAGGCAACTCGACGGGCGGCGGGGGTAGTGCTTGGAATTCGTCGAACGCGTGGCGAAGTCCGAACCCACCCCAGCCTCCCATCGACTCATGAGAATCGATGGTTGGTGGGGGTACGGTGGAGCCTCATGCCAAGAAGCACCCTGCTTGCCTCCAGGGTGCCCTGGGTTTCCTGTTGTTTCGATGGGTTTGCTATGGAAAGCGTGACGTTCCCGCACCAAAAATCGATGGACGTCCTGGGGTCTCAGGGTTGGGTATCTTGTGGAAGGTTTCTTATGGACTGGCCTGCACTGTAGGGCCCGGATGTCTCATGGCGCCAACATCGAAGAGCGGATTTCGTTCGGAATACAATAGGATGGGCCCAGAGTGTCCTGGAGAATTTCGCTCCGGATTTCGCAGTGAATTTCGTGCGGATCGTTTCTGGCCAGGAATGACGCCGAGCAGAACATCCACGCGAGCCTCGCCTCGTTTTTCACTCGCTGTTTCGGGGTGTTGCATGGTCAGAACTCCATGCAGAGATCCGCTGCAGCACTTCTGCTCCTGCCCGACGAGGGGGAGGAGAGGAAGTGGGGGAAGAGGAGCACGGCTCAGCGAGAAGTGGGGACGAGGGACGAGGGACGAGGGGAGGAGTAGGAGTAGGAGGAGGAGTAGGATGAGGAGGAGGAGGAGGAGCAGGAGGAGGAGGAGGAGGAGGAGGAGGAGGAGGAGGAGGAGGAGGAGGAGGAGGAGGAGGAGGAGGAGGAGGAGGAGGAGGAGGTCGGTGCAGTGAGATGTTGCCACCCGCTATCCGACCCGGGAGGCGCTGTCGTTGCAGTCCCAGGAGCTGCGCGGGTGGCGCGCGCCCCTCGAGGAGGCCTTCGGCGCCGGCAGGGCGCGCAGCGCCGAGCTGCTCGGGCGCTTCTACCTGGAGCTGCTGGTGGAGCGGTACAACGTCTGATGGGCCGACTTTCCGCAACCACTACCATGGGCAGGACGGGGGAGAAAGGAGGAGGAGGAGGAGGAG